TGGCGCGTCGGAATCGGATGTTTTCTCAAATAACTCGGGAGTTCCGCAAGGCAGTAACCTAGCACCGCTACTGTTTTCGATCTTTTTAAACGGACGTCACCTTTCTGATTCCATTAGGATGCCACGTTTTCTATGCAGACGATACGAAAATCTAGAAAATTATTAAAAGCCTCTCGGACTGCTGGGATCTCCAGAATATGTTAGGTATTTTTGCTGACTGGTGCTCAAGAAATTTGATGAGTTTAAGCATAGAAAAATGTAACATTATTTCCTTTCACCGAAAAATCGAATCAATCATGTTTGACAATGTTCTCTACGGACGCTGTCTTGCTCGTGTAGAGCACATCTCGGCGTTACCTTGGACTGCAGACTCACTTTCAGAGTCCACTACAATGACATCATCTCCAGAGCTAATCGACAATTGGGCTTTATTTTCAAAATTTTCGACAAGTTTCGTGACCCGCTATGCCTCAGGTCACTTTACTGCTCGCTTGTGCGATCCTTATTGGAGTCAAGTTCAGTTGTTTGGTGCCCTTTCCATGCTAGCTGGATCATTAAAATTGAATTGGATGTATCTCAGAATCTGTTTGGTTTAGAATAAAACATTATAAAAAGAAAATGTTTTGTGGTTGGTTGGTTGGATGTCTTTATTAAGGAGATTTTCAGCCAGACGCTGGTTCATCTCCGAAATGTTATGTATTTACTGATACAATAGGGGTTTTGCGATTTTTATTCCCCTCGATTGAAAATAAGACTTTGGGCTTGATACGTGCCATCAACTTCTACACAAGCTGCTGGTCAACCTCAGCGGCTGCTTTTTTCCAGTATCTGGTCATTGAAATAGCATCGTTAGCCATTTTTTCACTCTTCTCATATTAGCTTTGTTGATACTCCAATACATTTCCATTGGCGTCTACTCCATTATCGCGATACCACTGTTGCGCATTCTTACTGCAGTGACAACTCGTCAAATCTGGCAAAAAAATCTCGGGACCAAATGAACGGCAATACACCTTTTTTTTCAGGCATTCGTTGATGTATAACCAACCGGTGGAAACTAACGATTTTAAATTGGCTCACACTGGACTAGCCTATCGGTCCCAAGCAGCTAGGTGGCAACCCTATCTTGTTTGCCTTGCCTTGACAAGAGCTAACATTGCAGCGGGCCCGCGAATCGTGGGCATCACTGACAGCTCATAATTTGTAAACAAATAGAAGATTCAAGCCTGAATTTCAAAAAAGGCATGACTGATATTTCCGATATTCTTAATATTTTTGCTTACATTTTGTGAAACATAAAGTAAGAACTCATAGAGCATTATTTTCTGATTTTCTACCACAAAGTCAACCATTTATATGGCATAAAAGGGTAAATAATTCCATTTGATTATTGCAGTTCACACTTAAATTGTGACGTTTCAGATGTTGGTTTCAATAACATGGCGGCATATCAGCCAGCTGGTCCCAAGTACATCCAACAATCAATTCGAAACTAACGATTTTAAATTGGCTCACTACTTGACTAGCCTATTGGTCCCAAGCAAATCGATTAACGAACCCCATTCTAGTCAAAAATGCTAGTACTACACAATGTTTGTTTTGATTCGCCATGAAAGTTTGACACATAAAATGAGGGGTTAGTGGATTTTCCTATGTTTCGAGGGGTGAATCGACTAGCTTGGGACCGAAGATAGTACCAGAGCTGAGCCAAAAAGTTGAGCACGTTTATTCGGGACCTTGTATGGTACATCGATTAACGAAGTTGAAATTCTAGTACTACACTATGTTTGTTTTGATTCGCTGTGAAAGCAACAATCAATACGAAACTAACGATTTTAAATTGGCTCACCACTTTAGTAGCCTATTGGTCCCAAGCAAACGATTAACGTACCCTATTCTAGTTGAAATTCTATTACTACACTATGTTTGTTTTGATTCGCTATGAAAGTTTGACAGATAACATCAGGGGTGTGTGGATTCATGCAGAACATGCAGGGGTGAGTGAAATAGCTTGGGACTGCTTGGGACCGTTGTTCTGGTACTGAGTGAGCCAAAAATAATAATGATTTTCTTCGGGACCCAGTGGTCTTAGAGTTACCTCTATGGTGAAAGTGCATCGATTAGCTTGGGACCGAAGATAGTACCAGAGCTGAGCCAAAAAGTTGAGCTCGTTTCTTCGGGACCTTCTAGTCTATGGTAGAGGTACCATAGAGGTAACTATAAATGATCTAGTTTAATAGATAAAAAACAGTTTTTTTTAACATTAATCCACTGAAGTTTTTCATTCACATTTATATAGCTGAGCAACTTTGTGGAAGGTACAAAATTGCTACGACGTCACTCCGAGGACTTATCATTTTTTTTCCAGCTAGATTGCATATCTGGCCAACCGCACCTCAGCAAGTTAGAAAATCAACTTTGTGCATGCATCTCACAACACTCGACAAAGAGTGTGTGGTTCTCCCATTTACTTCGCACACTCTTTTCCAACTAATCTGTGAGAAAGCGATCTACACAATGAGCGGTACACTCCGTGCGGCGCAGGGAGCGAATGTAGTACAAAAAGCGCTAATGTCTTCTTTGAATTATTTGCAGGCTTTGCTTCCCACGACTGCATGCATAGGATATGAGCATAGAGCATAACGAAGAATATTTTTTTCTTTCTACTGGGTTTCCCATTTGCAACCCTACACTGAGTGGCGCTCTTTGCGTCGGAGCCGTCGGAGCGATGGCTACACATTGAGCTTTCGTTATTTATGGGTGTGTGTCTGTTTCCTCTTCTTCGCTGCTTTACACTTGCGCAGGGTGAAATACAAGTAAACTTTGTGTTTGCTTGATTCTCACTTTGTTTATTTCAGGAAATCAGTACATTGTGCACATTGAGTGATCAGATGACGGCCCTGTGGCCAACAGTGCGTTGTCCAGTCGAAATACAGTGTCAATAACTTGGGATGCGACACATCTAAATTTCAATTTTAGATGGTCGAAAAATCGCACAATTGCGAATCAATCTAGGAATTTTTTTTTGTTCATTTCTTGCATCTAAATCCATCGCACCGCTCTCCACATTTTTGCAGGAAATCTTCAAAATCTTCATCAAACTTCTTTCTATCTACTAAACGTGCGCGCATCCTAGGGGGTGACTCTATCTTCGATGCCGGAAAGTTTTTTTTTGCTATGGTTAGCTGCACACACGCTGAGCAGATGGGAAGAAGATTGATGACGATTCTGAAAATTTCCTGCAAAAAAATGATGTACGCTGCAAGTAGATGCGAGAAATGAAAGCAGATTTTTCGTAAATTGATTTGCTAGTGTGAGATTTTTCGAGCATCTAGAATTAACGCCCTCACATCTCACAACAACTAATTGTTCCTGCATCTTATACCCCGTACGGCTTATATCATGTAATATAGGCTGTCTTGCAATGAGCTCTCATATATAGGATTTCCAGTGAAAACTAGATGCATGAGTGCTCATTGCAAGATAGCCTATATCAAGAGCCACATGTGAAAAGGGCATACAAGCTTTTTGTAAACAAACCTTTGTAGGCCCTTTTCACATGTGGCTCTTGATATTACATGATATAAGCCATAGTCTGTCTGGGGTATTAGATAGAGTAGTCCTCCTTGATATATGCTATACCGTATGCGTGATAATGTTTGCACCATCGTACAAATAAGGTTCCCGTTTCACCTGTGCATAAAATGCCTTGGTTTTATTTGCATGCACGTAACCTATAGCTCATACCGCAGTAGGCTGTGTATAAAAGAAAATAATTTACTTAGTTTGACAGTTGCACCATGACGAAGTGGCAGCGTATTCGTGATTTGTCCCACGCGCAAATGTCGCAAAAAGACATTTCAATCGCCGTGGGAGTGTCCCGGTGGACCGTCAAAAGGGGTTTAGACCGAGAAAAGAAAGGACAACTATCCGCGAAGGTGGCCACAGGTCGTCCGAGGTCAGCTCGGGTTCCGAGGGTAATCGCTGCTATCAAAAGGAAGATTCGGGTGAATCCAGTGCGTTAAATAAGGAAAATGGCAAAGGAACACGGGATCAGTGATTTTACGGCACGGAAGATCGTAAAGGAAGATTGCGGGGCGAAGTCGAGGGCACGGAAAAAACTCACGTGATTACCAACCGAACGATGCAAGAAAATCTTGAACTTCCTTAAGTGAAAAAATCCGGTTATCCTGTTCACCGACGAGAGCATGTTTACCGTCGATCCCGTATCAAATTCCAGAACCGACCGGTATATTAGTTCTCTTCCGGTAAAAGACGTGGCCAACGAGCACAAGAACGTGTATCTGACCAAGCATCCTGCTAGCGTTATGGTGTTTGGATTGGTGGCTTCCGATGGCATAAAAATGGACCCGGTGTTCATTCCAGAAGGCGACAAGGTCAACATGGAGGTCTACGTCGGGATTTTAAGTAAGTATGTTCTTCCGTGGATCAAAGTATCGGTCCGAAGCCAAATGTATTTCAACAAGATGGGGCTCCGTGCCACACCTCGAACCGCACTCAGAAGTGGTTGCAGGAACATCTTCCGTTCTGGGCGAATGATATGTGGCCATCATCCAGCTCCGATCTTAATCCGCTGGATTACTCAATATGGCGCGTCATGAGGGCCAAGGCCTGTTCTAAACGCCACCCGAGTACAGCAAGCCTCAGACAAACATTGACCCGTACCTGGAGAGAAATGGATTCAGACTACATTATTAGAACCTGCCAGGCATTCCGGAAGTATGTGAAGGCCATAATTGCAGCAAGTGGAAACTCGATCGATGATTAACATAGTTTAAAAAAAACTCGAAAACGAAATCTTTGAGAATTTTTTTAATTTTGACATTGTTTAATGGTGCAAACATTATCACGCATACGGTATACTTAAAATTCACATTTAAGTGATCGTCATCCTTAAAGGATGAGCCTGCTAAACCTAGCCTGCTATAGGTTCGACACAGCGAAAACATCCCGCACTACTATAATTAACAACTACTCACGTTAAGCTCTTCCCCGCAGAAGGTCACCTCGTCGACGCTGAACTGCAGATCCTCGTTGCGGCGCTTTTCCTCGGTCAGCTGCGTTTCCACTTTGGCAAGCTTGTCTTTAAACTGAAACCACGTGCCGGAAAAAAAAAGAAAACAACAAGTGAAAATTAAATTCCCATTTTCCACCAACAAAACGACAGACAACATTCTAAATAAGGCTGATAAAGAGAGAAAGTGACACTGACAACAAAGAACAACAGCTCGGGGCGGCTTTCGCAGTTTTTCGTGAATGTAATACCCATTGCTTCGCCTCCTTCGATGACAAGGAGGAGAACGACACGACTCGAGGGAGATTAAGCTAATAAGGAATTCAATTTCATTTACGACGCCACGCAACGGCTTCATCTTTTTCCTTCTCCACAAGGGGGTGATATGCGGCAGGCGTCTGGCAGGGAACTGAAAGGAAGAATGAATGATGTTGTAGGTAGAACAATTCAAGGAATGTGTTGTTTATTAAATAAATGTACTTACCTTGATTTCGGGGTATCAAATCGTAAGTCCTAGGCTGGTAGTCAATGATTGATGGTGGCAGTTATTACCTCGATTCACTTGGGTTGGGTTGGGAGTCGTTTCAAAGTCACATCGTAATTCCCACGGTTCAGTAACAGGTTAGTTCGATTGAATTTTTTACTAATTAATTGAAGATTGGTTTTTAATTAAAAACCATTTCAGAAACCAACAAAGGTCGTACGGCTAATGTTAAAATCAACAGTGATGCCAAGGAGCTGATGAACAAAATCGAACAGTATTTACATCATCAACGAGCAACCGGTGCAAAGCGTTCTCTTGGACAGGATTGACGTCAAGTATCTATGTGACGTGCAAACGCAAGGAGTCGCTCTCAAGATAGCTCTGCTGAAGGAAAATCTGATTGCGCAGATTCTAACCGGTGTGTTTCGTATTGTTTGTAAAAGCTATAGCAGTTACAACCTTAAAGTTTATCTTTCAGACATGAATCTCAATTGACTGAAGAGCCAAAATCTCATGCTGAAGTTTGGTGGAGATTAAAAATCTGGATCAATTCCGAAATAGGCACAATGTGATTCTCTTGTCGATACTTGGAATCCAGAGCGTACCAGCAACCGATCGCGAAAGAAATCCAGTCCAAGTGGTTGGATCAGTTAGGCTTTGGTCAAATCGAAGACATGTCAAACGACGAGAGTTACAAGATGAACTATCCTAAGGCTAAAAATCTAAAAATTAAAGTTTAAAAAAATAACGTCAAGAGGTTTGTTCATGCCTGGTGTTGATTTGTTAATATCCACCTAGTGACTATCGTGCTCTTTCTCACAGATTTATACTAACGCTGCTGGCACCGTTGCCAGTATTTCAGATTTTTCTGGATTTTACAGATTTTCAGTCGTCTTGCCAGATACACAGACATATCACGTTTATTTGCATGATTTTTTAAATATGTTCCAGATTTTCCCAGATTTTTAAAATGTGTTGCTTTATAAATATCACTGCAATGGACCCTCTAATCAAGAAATAAAAAGCCAAACTTACTGCTTTAATTACTAAAGGCCATCAACTTTGGACATTATTGCAACATCATACATGGAATTGTTACAGCATGTTTGCAATGGGTTGCAGAATCATGAAAATTGAGACATTTTCTAAATATTATTGGCTGCAAAAAATCTTCAAATTTTTAAAAATGTCGAGCGAAGATTTTTTTTTATTGGAGTTTTTGTTTAGATTTTGGCTATAATTATTTTTTTTTTGAATCTTGGATTTATAAAAATCAACATTTCAATATGGAGGAATTTTCCTAATTTTGGAATTTAGATAAATCGAAAACTGTTCAGGATTGAAAACAATAAATTGAGCTTTGGAAAATTAGCAAGGTTTTTGAATCTAGACAACCACCAGGACTAATGCCGGCGCCGGTAGTGTAGTGGTAAGCGTGACTGCTTTCTAACACCCCAATGGGTCTGGGTTCAATCCCAGCCGAGGTCGGTGGAATTTTTCTGAGGCATAAAAATCTCTGGTCACGTCTTCCTTCGGAAGGGAAGTAAAGCCCGTTGGTCCCGGCCCATGTGTGTTGAATGGGTGCGATATCCTACGCAGGTGTGGAAGCTGCCTTCCTGCACATTCGATTGCCCGTCAATGGATGGCAATCGATGTCCGTCGGTGATTGGCACTAGATTGCGGAACAGAGACCGACGTTAAATAAAGGAAAGAAGAAGAACCACCAGGACTTTGAAGTATGTTCGTGATATTTTTAAGGATAATTAATTAGAGTTTTAAATAGAGTTTTAAAGTACCTGTGAATATTGAGTTACCTTAGCAGTCTGCAATACTATAGAATTCTGAGTTGCTCTAGATTTCAGAATTTTAAGGTAATTCTGAAAATAGTTTACAGTGAAGTGTAAGTATACAGTCTGTGCAACCTTTGATTGAAGTGAAGACGGTATAAATTGTCTTTTGCAAACTCTGATGACAATCGCATGGAGAATTTGTCAAGAAAGCAAATGTCGAATGTTTCTATGGCGATTAGGTTTTATCAAGTTTTAAGAAATCTGGCAATTTCTGGGAGACTTTCAAGGCTATTTTGGCAAAGTACTTGAGTACTCTGAGTATACTGAAGAGGATAAGTCTGAGGAGAATGTGACGGTCATTCTGAAGAACGTACCAAGGAAATTATTAAGAATATTCTAAGGGAATTTCATAGAGAAAAACTGAGACAAAATTATGCCAATTATTGGAAATTATTACCAGTTTGAGTGAATTGTGGAATCACTAACTCTTAGAATGTTACTGGAAAAGTTTGGATATTATCAAGATTAGTTTAGGGGAATCCAGAACAGAAGTATGATGAAATTCTAGGATGATTCAAATTGAACTCTGTAAATGAAGTAAATTCAGACTAACAAAAAATGTCACGATCTGGGACCCAGGAAAAATATAAATTCTAGAATTTAGAATCATTTCAAGATCCTGAGACATCAAAAATGACGCTTTCAGACTTTCATTTTATTTATATAATAATATTATTCTTTGGCATAAAATTATGGGTAATGGTCATGTGGAGTTACCCGTAGTTTAGGTAAACTGTGTGTGAGTACCACCATAGAGGTAACTCTAAGACTAGAAGGTCTCGAAATAACGTGCTCAACTTTTTGGCTCAGCTCTGGTACTCTCTTCGGTCCCAAGCTAATCGATGCACCCCTCGAAACATAGGAAAATCCACGAACCCCTCATTTGATCTGTCATACTTTCATAGCAAATCAAAACAAATATAGGGTATTACTAGAATTTCAACAAGAATAGGGTACGTTAATCATTTGCTTGGGACCAATAGGCTACTAAAGTGGTGAGCCAATTTAAAATCGTTAGTTTCGTATTGATTGTTGGTACCACGATGTTAGGCTTTGATTCTCACTTCAGCCAGGAGAATTTTAGTTTAAAATAAAATTACCTACTGGTCTACCGGGTGCTGTGAGTTGTATGATGTCAAGAATGAAATTGGAAGTCTGATCAATTGCAGAGTACTATTATAATTATTTAAAACTAATAAAAATTGTAAGACATATTCTGGTACTGCATCGAATATTAAGGACTAAATCGACTATTAGTTTAAACAAATCATCCCATCAAAGTTGCTTGACTCTTTGCTGCTTCAGAATCCTAAAAATATTTTCTGCAGCATTTAAAAAATTAAATCAATTTTGAAATGCTGCGTAATGGAAATTTAAACTTTTTGGGAACACTGTGTCAATACTTTTCTTAAATTTTGGATGATTTTAGCATTACTAACAAGTTGGCTTTACATGGATTTCATAAACAATCTGGTAGACTTTGAATAAATTCCAGATGATCATCCTGACCGATTTTTACGGGAGATTGGCACATCACTTTGATGGAGCATTCCAGATTTTTCCAGATTTTATATTTTTTTGAAAATGACCTGGCAACGCTGGCTGCTGGTCCTACCATTCACGAACCAGGCGATACCAAAAATTTTCGACATGCCGATTCTTCAGAGCAAGTTCATTGTTACTGTTACGTATGCACAAATTACACTGCGTCTGCATTCCGAACACCAGACGGACTTATGAAATAAGCAAGCTTCTGGACGAAAGCCTCGAATGCTGCGAAAAGAGTGACGAAGTGATCAACAATCATCAGATAAACGAATTGTACGCTTCCAAATCTACTAACAGAAATTGGTACCACACTAGGAAATCCTTAGTAACCTACGGTAATCAGGAACGGATCAAACACAAGAATCTGGTGTTGGAACCACAGTATTACAAGTGAAGTGCCTTTTCCCACAAGATTTGTCTGGCAATAACTTGCCTGAACGAAGGGGATGAAGATAGGGTAACTGATGATGGTTGGACCTATTTAGGCCGGTTTCACACGACGTCAACATTCATGTCGTATTTGTTTTATGAATTCAACATATAATTATAAAAAAAAAATGCGTGATTAGGGGAAAGATCTACCTTTCTTGTTTCTAATAATAACATAAAAAGTTAAATATTATGAACAAATGATTTTATAAAAGGTTTTTATTCAGCAAAGAATTATGATGTTGGTTGGACCTAAAAAATGATGATGGTTGGACCTATTTTTGCAAATGCTAGTTTAGCCCATATTTGTTCAAAAACTTTGTTTAAAGCTTATTGGTATCATGAAAAAACCATTTTTATACAGTTTTTATGAATATGCTATTTAAAAAAATCAAGAAATTTGAGTTCAACTTCGTTTTTAAAAAAGTTCACTTTCCACGCATTAGCTATTCATCATGGCTCATTTTCTCGGAAAATCATTGACGCGATTTGGAAAATCTTAAACGTCAAACTATAGGTATTGTGGTTCCATTGAAAGCTATCGAATATTTTTGGAATCGGACAACTGGTTCCGGAGATATGGCCGGAACAAGTTCCAGGGTATATGGAACATGGACCTAATTTTGACATGGAAGGAATAAAACCTATCATTCGATAACAAGATCAATAACAAAATTGAGTGCCTTGGACCACATTGGCCACTTCCGGGCATGTTTTGGGTGCCCCCGGGGAATTTAGGGGCTTAAAATGACAGAATATCAGAAC